TTTTAGCGAGGCATTTTATACGAGTATTTTCTTGTAACGGATAAATATTTTCCTTACAAATTTTGTTCGATAAGCCAGTCCTTGCGCACACATGATGTAGGCCTAACTGACAATAGTGATGATTTGGCTCTCGACATGGATCGTGTGGCTCGGGGCACTTGATGATGAGCCCAGTATCGGAAGAGGCTGTTCTAATTCTAATTAAACTATTTCCAGAGCGGAGGAAACCCAGAGCTCGGTTGTAATTAGAGACAGGGCCAAAAAACAGCGTTAGGGGAACGTCAATGTCCTCCCGACCCCAAAACCAAAATAGTCGGGGCTGCGTCCAGGTGAGCCGCGTAAACATCCAAATTGGAGCGAGCTATCTTTGCTGGTTAGAATTGTGCGTACCGAGCTGGGCGACAGGCCAAGAAAATGGCAAGCTTTGGAGACGGGTTCGTGTAGGCCTACCTGGCAACAAACAACAAAATAATACTTAAGATCAAGTTGGTAATTAGGTCTATCTGAAGCATGCGATTTACTGATGTTTGCAATCTCTCCAGTTGTTTAAGGGTTTGATCCGTTTTGGGGGTTTAAAGGGTTTTTGGTTCTGTTTGGTAGTAGGCTACTTCAAAACACTAACCACTAATCGTTAGAGTTTGAATCCTGCCATTATCCACATTGTGTAGTGTGCGTCCAATATTCTATAACTTGGACTAGTTTTTTTTTTTTTATTAATGTATAACGTTATTTTTGTTTTAAACTAAATATATAGTAGGGCATAATAAATATATCGAAGGTTGGCTACTCTAAATATTGTCATGTCACAACTGCATGTCAATCTGTGAAGATGTAACCTTATACGTTAAAACTCTCGTGGCAACGTAAGGCTGGGATACTATACAACATGCTGTATAACATCGCATTGCAGTACTGTAAACATTGAATGGAATGTGTGTAATTGAATCTCAACTCTCAGTTTAAACGGTGTTGTATTTCAATATTTCGAAGACCACATTATTTGATTTGTCTGATGGCGGAAAAAACTAAAATATTTCCTTAAACTTGTCATATTTTCCCCTTGTCATATTTAATAAGTATCTAGGTTTTCTGCTACCGTATCTGTAGGGACAAATGTAGGAAAATGATGGAAACATTTTAATAGTATAGTATGAAATCAATAATTTTCCAAATTTGGTCGAGATATATCCATAAACAAGCAAACTGTATGCTTATAAGTAACAGTTTAATTTTTATCCATAAGAATAACACTTGTACAATTAATTGTTTTTTCCCCTCCGAAACCTTTAATCCTAAATTATCGCTTTGATATACCAAAGTATTTGTTAAAGCTCTAACCTATACGATAGTTTTAATTAATATTGGGTATTTTAATTTTTGAAGAGTCAACATCTGAAAAGGCTATTCTCCATAATACCATAGATTAAACAGGGAGTATGTTTAATCTATGATAATATCCTACATGGTGTTATTACTTGTAGTAACACTACTTGTAATACTACTTGTAATCACATACACCAAACACTCTTCTACAAGGCGCTAGGGGTGGATGGTGGATGTGTCCCTTGTCAAGGCCATCGTCCTAGGGAATTGCCTCGATTTACAATCACTTTCTCCCTCTGCCCAAAGTCAAAAGTGCCGCCGGCCCGAATAGCCCCCATAAACCCCTGTCATAGCCTTCACTTTCATTTTATTTATTGGTCCCATCCTCGGCCCAACTAAAGCTTTTATATGGGGGCAATTCTGATATTAAGGTCACGGGGCTTGGCGGCGGCAGCGGCTCCTATAAGTTCAAAACTGAAAGTGGCTATTGTTTGGGGTTTTGGACCACGTGGGCTAGTACTACTTAAACTGTAGAAAGTTAAATGCGGTCCATTTGTATACATTGTTTGTACAAAAAGGGATCTTAAAACTACACGTTATGTCGAGTTCTGTATTTGAAAACAACGCGTAAGACAGCAAACGTATTAATATGAAAGGTTATAAGGAGTTCAACTAGTGAATTTAGCCTATAACGTATTCCGTACATCATTAACACTACAAACAATGCAGTATGCTTGTAACCCATAGGTGTTGTAAATGTATCATGTGAAGTGTAGTAAGCAAATCTACACTCGACAACTGTTGTTGTTGTTGTTGTTAGGTCTACTACAGGTCGCTATACTAAATAGACACAACACGTTGTTATGTAAACCGCATTAGATTTGTGTACACATGATTACAGTCCAGGATATTGCTTACAGCTCATTATTTCTTTAATCGTCCTGGAAGAGCAAAACAAAATAATACAATGTAAGGGCTGGTGTGGTTATCGGCACTATAAAATAATCAACCAATTATCACGATGCCAAGCCATTAAAAAGACACGAACATAAACGTAATCTACCTTATGACTAATCAGAACACTGTAAAATACAGAACTCTATTCAACATTTTGTTGTTATACTAATTTAAGTCATAAACTGTTTTGGAAGTGCATGTAATAAAACCCAGAATACTAGAACAAGCATGGTATGGATCATAAACATAAACAAAATTGTGTTAATGGCCCGAACATTATTTTAACCATGAAACTGTCTAGCCTAATCCATTATGTTAATGTTATTAGTATAGGATTCGGGCCAGTTACATAATTTGTTTAGGTTATGACACCCGGTAACTCTAGAGTCTGTGTTAACCCAACAATCAACAGTTGACAGGGGCATGCAAAAAATTAAATTTGTTAGAACATTTAGATTTAATTGTTGATTACTGTCGACATTTCTTTTACGATTCTTTACTTGATATGTAACTATACTCATGTAAGTAATACATGTAAAAATTGGTCTGTTATGTATTCATTTATAAAAACTCATAATTGAGATTCGGCGTTCTGGATAACTAATCTTTGGGTCCACAACTTGTCTAGAGAGCTTTTACTGTACTTCAAATTTTGTTCTTGCCGAGTTTCAACAAGGTTTGATCGATATTGATTCAATGTTCCACGTTAGTAAAAATGTAAAATGTTTACATTTTTAGACTAAAGTGGACATTTAGTCTAATTTGGTAGTCATGTTGTGGGTAGTGGGCAGTATGACACCGTGTGTAGTGTATATTGTGTGTGGGGGGGGGAGGCAACAGTAGTTCATGACCCTTGTGTTGAGGTGAATAACATCTTTGGTCCAGTTCACTGCCCCCCCCCCTCCCCCTACACCCACGCTTCGTCACCTATCTGCGGCCGATATAACTACGTTGGATTATGATTATACAGTATACTTTAAAATCCTATAATGTTTTTTATTATTACAAGCCTATTATTCACGTAGATTATTGTGGGCTTCACTCACCTTTATTTTTGTCTGTGATGTCCGGGACTCGTCAAAACACACATATATAAAACACAAAATCGTCCACGGCATCAAAGTCCGATTTTGTGTTTTATATATGTGTGTTTTGACGAGTCCCGGACATCACAGACAATAATAAAGGTGAGTGAAGCCCACAATAATCTACGTGAATAATAACACCTCGCCTAAAAGCATGTCGTTCAAAAATAGAATTATAAGCCTATTATTTTTATTATTTTATTAATTCCGTATGTTTACTCCCTTATGATTTATTTGCCTTTGAGGTTTATAACCTTAACAGGTGGACAATCTGTATGTGGTCGACTGTACTGTTCTCTCAGTGCAACTCCCTTAGGATTACTAAAATGTGGCTGTTCAAAAAGATGGTCATAGATAGGTTACGTCCCTTTGCCATTTGTGACTCGGGTCAGCATGTGCCTTGTGCCAATAATGCCTGATAGCAAAGCTAAAGCCTTTCTCTAAAGTAAAAGTGCGAAACCGCGGAAGTCAAAACGTTAACACAAGTTATCACTAACAAGTGGTAGTGGAATTTGGCAGCCACCATCACTTATGGGAGGGGTGAGTGGAGGAGGGGAGTGTCCTTGGCCGCTGTGTCTGGGTAAGTCAGTCAAGGCTATTGACCTTCCGTGCTGTTGTAGTGAGGGGAGGGGGCAACGGTGCTCGACCAATGACGGCTCAGTATTCGGTCCCCTCGCGCTGCCATTGGTCGTCTTATCAGGCTGTTGCCAGTGACCTTCTGATTTTGAAAAACTCTCGGTGGGTATTTTGTTCGTTTTTCCCCGTCCGCTAAAATATTGCCCCCACTCCAGTGGTGCCCTAGGCCCGGCAGTAGCGCGTCGCAGGTGCCAGTTACTTGTGCGTACTTTCACTGGTCAGTCGTCGGTCATCGGTTATGTTGTGTAGTGCTTAGTGCTAATATGGTGTTGTCACATGTAGTGTTCGACATGCCGCCTCAGTACGCGAACTATTATGACGATGACGAGTGCAGAACTCCCGTGCATATAGTGGACCATCATCAGAAAAAAGCTGAGCTCAACTTAGGTAAACAATCACATTTACTAGCATTCAAACATTCGTCATAACACGTTGCCACTTGTTACCAAAACAAGTGGGCTGTCGCTGAACTGTCTTAGTTGCGTCGATGTAATTACAGTATTGTAAAACAATATAACTTATTTAAATTATATATAATATTTCTTTTTTGTTAGAGTATTGATTAATGCAGTGTTACGGTGTGTTTATAGATTCATTCAAATATCTGTGTTTTTATGCCATACTGTAATTCTTATCCATAACAATATTTCCTGAATCCTACACGTATAGATTTTAACTACCACGAAGTAGTGGTTTTTATTCAAAAGTCAATGAAACGTATTTTAGCGGTAACATTGGGGAGTTTAAATCTATATCAGACACGATGTCTCGTTGGTCGAAGGTTTGCAGGTCGACTTCCTGGTGTTTGACCGTGACTGAGACCGTCGCCACCTTCGCCTTCCTGGCCTACCAAGGGCGCCTGCTGGCCTTTGGCGGCGCATGTTGACAAAGGCGTAATTTGACTCGATTGCCGAATAACATTATTTAAAATTCTAAAATAATGGTCCTATACTAATCAGAGTCTTTGGTTACCGGCCTAACAAAAGTCTTTTATTTCAGAATTCGATGGGACGACAGTTCTCTGTCGGGTATGTGGAGACAAGGCTTCGGGATTCCATTATGGTGTTCATTCCTGTGAGGGTTGCAAGGTATGTACTCGACTCTGGGTAGTGTTCTAGACTATAAGCTAAAATAGGTAGTGTACCTATCTAAGTAATGTACTTTTAAGTCTGAGAATAATTTTAACATTGGAAGGAGCTTTTTTTTAATAATGATTTTTATTATTTGCGAACTGAAATTAATTATTTAAATGTGTATCACACTCAGTCATTAGGTACTTTTAATAACGTGACATTTTGACACTTTTGACGAGTTGTATTTACCTAGGCACACAATACCAATGCTGTATCTAAAATATGGAAAAGCGTCAACACGCGCATAAGTTTCAACATAACCACTTGTAAGAAGAAAGTCTAGTAATCGTCAGACAACCGGAAGAAATGTTCCTGGATAACACGTTACGCTCCCAGCATCGGTTCCGCGACTTTCTTCGGGTTTGCGTCACTGGAGAAAGTACTTTCTTCAGACCGGTCCCCCCTCACCCGGCGAGACGGCTCCTTTCACCTTTCTCCGGTGCATTTCTCCGACCCCCCCCTCTCTTCTCACTCCTCTCTTGCGGTTATCACATCGCATCACAACACTCGTTGCGAATAATTGTGACGATATTCGCGGATGTTATTCAACAATCCAAATGCTTGTTGATTTCTGTCTTTGTTAATATTTCGTTACTTTACCTGTTGTTTAATACTGTTTTAAATTGTGTGCAATTTTAGGCAACGTTTTTGTGTTTTTCTCAAATATCAACTTACTGTAGTTATTTTTAGCCAATCTTAAGACTGATACATGTTTGCATTTTTTTTTTAGAAGTAAACGATTGCTTTGTTCAGAACTGTAATTATCACAGTGATCGTATTCCTTTATACGTTGTCTCTTGCGATCAACTTTTTTGCTCCTCTACCCGTCATTGAAGTGCTGTTGAACCCTTGCTCTACGAACAAAGGCCTCGGACGGTCGGAGGAGGTGCCGCCGCCTGTTGGCCTCGGTTTGGCGGTTGAAGGTCGGTCACCGGGCCAGTGTCCTTTGGGGCTCCGCCCGCCTGGGTCCCGCGCATTTGCAAGGCTCTCCTCTGTGGAGAATATTTACAATAGTCCCTCGTTTCTTTACGTAACGGTAGGGAAACTAAATAAACCGTTCGTAACTTTTTCAATAGTGCCGTCCTTCCAAAAACACACGGGTTTGCGTAACGGTAGTAATTTTATTGGGGGTTCGACTTTGTTAAAGCCTGTCGCTTTTGTCTTTTTTTAGTACGGCCTGCATAATTTATGAAGGTCGTTTTTACGTAACAGTATCTTTTTGGAAACACTGTAGGCCCAGGTCTAACAGTCGTCGGGGGTAAAAAGTGTAAACTATTATGCACATCAGTCTTTTTTGAAGGCTGTTTACGTAGTAGGCTGCTTTACGTGCAGGTTGCTCGAGGAAATAATAACGTTTACTAGACCAAAGCTACGTAAGTATGTTAAGCAATCATTGCTATTAAATTCCTACGAGTTCCTGACGACCTTAGGCGCGCCTTTGACTCAAGGTTTCCACTCGCGGAACTCCACTTTGCTGTTACGCGCGCCTATTTCTAGCTACCGTTGCATATTTCACTCTTACTGCTGCCCATCAAGGCCGTTACATTTCTTTGTCTCGGTGTTTGCATGTATTGATAAACACACATTATATACGTTTGTTATTTACTTGGACTGCATCAACGCTTGGACGTGGGGCGTGTTTAACTCCCGCTTTGTCATCGACGTGGAGCACAATCCCCGTTGTGAGTCAGTTTGTTTGCGTTAGTTTCTGCCGGTATTTTTTTATATTTATCTTACGGAAGCCAATATTAGTTCTTTTTTAACGAGTTTTCAAATGTTATTCCAATAGTAGATTGCAAGTTCCATCTCAATTATATCGGTGAACCCCTTATTCCAGAGCTTCGAAGTGGTATCTGCATTTACGTAGTCTTTGGACCCAAGTTGGCACCACAATAGTGTTTGGCTATTCGCTAGTTTGTCCCGTTACAGTCCAGCATTGTTCCCTAGGGAGGTGAGTGATCTCTCCCACGCCACACGCCACCTTCACCTCCGTCACGGTCCCTAACTTCTCGGAAACACTCTTCACTCCTGCACACGTTGCGGTGTCGAGCCTCTTCACTTCCTCCTTGTTTTTGCCTCAATACGAGGTTCGGCCGTCAGGAGTTTTAGTCATTGTCGCCTCGTGATCTCGGAGAGCAGTTGAGATAGTCTTGTGTCAGTGATATCCGACAAGTAGCTTATGTTTTATCCCAACGTTCAATACACTAGCCTTGAGTGCCGCTACAGCCCCAGGTGAGCGCGAAAGTCGTGTCAGGAAGTGGGCTGCCTAGCTGCCTAGTCGGCTCTGTAAAAAGCAGCCCGTTACTGCTGACGGTATCCAGGTCGAGGCCGTGACCCGCAGACTGCACAGTAGAGAAGAGATGCAACAAAACACACGGCCTGCAACCCACTGCCATAACAAACCGTCAATTAATTTATTAATTGACGTGAGTTTTTTAGGTGGACCCGCAGATATGGAATAAATGATCGTGGATAATTATTTGGTTTTTACCCTAATTAAATTCCGAAGTATTTTCATTCTTTTGAGCTTTACTCACGATTTGCAATACTAAGATATAGCCTCCCTAGTCGTCACCGTCGCGTCGCCCATGACGTCACTTGACCCGCTGACGCTACTTGCGTCACACTTCCCAGAACCACGTCGTAGTAGGTCACTGACCCGTGGTTGCTGGAACGATCCAGAGTTCTCGGAGGTGGTTGACTGTGTTGCCTCTTGATGAATCACGTTTCGTCAGCGTTGATGGATTCGGTTTACTGGTATTGAAGGGCGAGCAAGTGCGAGTTAGTGATCAAATGACCAAGAGTTACCCCACTCTATCAACTGGTTACAGATATTGTAGCCTATACTATGCTTGATCATAGAATCCAGGCGAGAGTATCACTTATTGACAAAGCCCCTAAAGCCCCAATAGTGCCCATGGTACTACTGTATATTTTGCAAGGGTTTGAACAGCCGCGGCCAGATTGTACTGCGAGGTACGGCAGATAGCGGCCGTTCTCAGAACAGCGCCACCACCGCCACTGCACCGTTCGCTAACGGGACTCTTGCAACTGCATTCTAGCCATATGGCTTCCCTTGGCAGGTACTCCGCCTTGTATTTATTGTTGGTGCGTTACACTGGACTGATAACCACCTCTCCGATTTGCCAAGCTCTGGTTTGATGGCAACTGTTTTCTTGGTACTTGGTATGCTCTTGATCGAGTTATTCCTGAATAGACACTGTAATATCTCGTCGAGAGACTACCTGAGTATTTCCTATAGTTATCAAAAATAGCAAAAGTAATCACAATAATTAAATGCTGTATAGTTGTGCCTATGGACAGCAGTTAACTATACAGTAGTTGTTTTAAATAGTATCTGCTACAATTGAAATGTGAAGGGACCTCACCTAATAACGTAAGTGGAATTATTGGGCTGAAATACTTCACGATGACTGCTAAAATCTTTATGTTTGAGTTTGTTATTATTGTAAAGCATTAAGTGTTACTCATGTATGGTGCGTGGTTTGAACTATACTATCGTCAATATTATAGCCTAATTATTGGAAACTTGTCTGTGGTGGAGGAAATTTCTAAATCGGTATTTGGCCGCACAGGATTCCACAATAAATAGCCTAGAATGGTGCGGGGGTCGTTCCCCCCATGACGTCACACTGTCATTGCCCCGCTTTGGGGCCACTCGCCACTCGCTTATCTAAAACGAGGTCGCCTTATTGGTCGTTGTCGATTACTACGTTACGTTATCGGTTTATTCTTGGCCGCGATTTTTGTTTTGCAGCTTTCATACACGATAACAACTGACAACGAAGTGGCACATTGTGTCTTATGTAGGATATCGCGGAGATTGCGCTATCGGTGTGACGGTTTAGTTAGTTTTTAGACTGAGGTCTAGCAGGAGCTTGTCATACGATTTAGAAACGGGGTCGCTGTTGACGGTCGTTGACCGTTAGTGAGGTCAATTAGAATATAAAAACTTAGTATATCCTTTACTGTTTACTAAACAGATTTTTGTCCTTTAAAGTAAATTGCTGGTGATATTTATTATATACGAGGATTGTAGCATTGATTAGTCGCCCGCAGTAAGCATTTCTGCCGAATCTCCTCTCTCCCGGTTCTGAGTAATACTATCAATCCAGGCCAAGTAGTTAACCGCCCACCAGTCGTTGCCCTGTGACTCATGTGGAGTGTGGACGAGGAAGTACAGACTACCGAGTGACTGTTCTGTGAACTCTCTGGGGTGCCGCCTTCGCTCTCCCACAATTCCGGTATTTATGGACAGAAACCTCCCCTCCTTGTTCTAAACCACAATGGTTTTCGACAAAAACGAACGGTCGACCTCCTTAGCGAGTGGTGTTGTGTTAGTTTCGACCCCGCCACCCTCGGGGATGTGCTATGTTCTGCGACAGGTAGGCTGCCAGTTACAAAACTTTCTGTTAATATACCCTGTTTGATAGTGGTTTCATGTAGATTTGTATGTACATAATAAGTTGTAATCTATAACTTCTTAAGTGTCTGTACTAGCACGCTGTGACTGCTGAAAAGTAGTTTATGAGTACCTTCCATAAACTAATTATTAGAAACAAAAAATATACTTAAATAAACGTGAAGATATTGTTGTAATTTTAGTAGCCTATACTGCTTTCAGACGGTACTCGGTTTACAAACGAATACGACTTATAAATTATTATCTGGTTTTTCATAATAACATTGTTTTATCTACCCATTTCATGTTTAGTCTCCCCGGTCACCATTGTTGTGGGACGGATGCATTACAAAGCCGTCCTATTGGCGAAAAAATGTATTTTTCGCATGTCAAAAATTCCCTCACAGAAGTGTGTATCAACAGCACTTTTAAATAGCCAATCCCAGCCTCGTTGCAACCTTGTTGTTTACTTTTTGCAATGCACGTTTCCCGCCGAGGCGCGGCGTTGCGGTAGGTCAGGACACCATGCGACGCGAGGTCATTGACCTCTTCAGGTCGTCGAACCATAACTGTTCTCTTTGTTACCTTATTACTGATAACAAACTTGTTCTTAATTATTGCTTTAATTCGCTTCTTTGTCGGTGGGGCTCGCGCTTTATCTATTGTGCGACGTCTTTTGTCGCCACGCAATTAATACGCGCCCGAGTAACGTCATGTTCGCATTCTTCGCGGCTGCGGCGCGCCGCTTCCCCTCGTACAACAGTCTCCATAGTTTTATGTTATTTCCTGCTAAAAGTATTTAAGTATTTTCCTTTCAAAACATATTCGTTACCTATCTATAATTTTTGAAGACCTAAGGATAGTTAAATCTAACTGCTATGAAATGGCCAGTAGTGTATCTATAGTTTGGATGTCCCAGTTTTGAGGGGTGAACACCCCCATGTCCCAGTTTAGAGAGATCAATAGCTTGTCGTCCCTCCCCTTCCCCTTGGCCTACATTCCAGCTCTCACACCCTTCACATCCCTTGCAAGCTGATCAGGGGAATCTTTGGGATGTTTAAATCCGTAGGGGAGGGTTGGGGCAGTCAAGGCATGCGGTTGCGAAGTATAATATTTCAAAAATTTCATGTATAGGAATGGTATGGAACAATGCTACGTTTTCAGCTCTGTATGTATTTAATTGTTGTAGTACTATTAGATTATACTACTAGGGTTGCTTTCCGAGAGGAATACCCTAGTTAGCCTGTGTTATCTACAAGGGTAACAAACAAATTAGTAAAGAGCTGTGAGAAATTATATACTCGTACTAATTAATCTTTTACGACTTGAAAGCTTTGACACACCATATTTCTACGAAATCTTCTCTGGAAATTTCTGGGGTTTTTAACGTAAACTAGCTAAACACGCGTTTTGTATACGGTAGTTTTATAAATTCGAATCAGTACTTTAACGTCAGTATATGGATGATCTATGAATAATGCGCAATGATAAATACAGTAATGAACTTCACATTTTCCCCGACATAAAAGATAAAAGGATGTATTAGAAAACTCGAAAATAAAATTTGTTACCGAATCGTTTTAAACCCATTAGCCTACATATTTTTAGTGATGGGTGTTCAATTAGGATTGCCGAAATTCACACCCGGTAAATCCCATCGGTTCAATAACCTGTGAGGCAACCTTCGTCGAACAACTTTCCTTTCGCGTTGCCGAAATCCTCTGAACGTACGGCATGTAACGGAGTAAATAAAGAAATTGGGGTGACGCCGTGGCGGAGGGGGGAGGGGGGTACTCTCACTTTCGCCAGGTCCTCAACCTCTTTGTAGGTCAGTCTCTGCGCGGCGCTGTGACTGTACAGCTACAGCAGAGTGTGGTTCAGTCGTCAGTGGAACGCCGTCAGTGATACAACTACAACTACCTCGCTATTGTAGTGACGTGTGTGTGAGTGTATGTGATGGGTTGTGTGTGTAAAGACAACATGCCGCCGTATACTGACTGTGAATGTCTTTCCCAGGGATTCTTCAGACGCAGCATCCAACAGAAGATCCAGTACAGACCGTGCACCAAGAACCAGCAGTGTTCCATCCTGCGAATCAACCGCAACCGCTGTCAATACTGCAGACTCAAGAAGTGCATCGCCGTCGGCATGAGCAGAGACGGTGAGTCCACCTTATCACTAATAGTATCTGGTAGATCAAATAAAGGATTCAACAAAATTGTAGTTTCTGTTAAAATATAAAGATAACTAATTTCTTCCATTAATATAAATACAGGGCTGTAAAAGGTACCTATTCCAGATTTGTGCGTAGATAAAAATATACTGGGTGGCTGAAATCATCCCATTCTTAAAAGCGTAAACTCGACGTTATATACTCAGTAAAGTCGCGCTTTAATTGTTTGGAGTATATTAGCCCATACCAGTTTGTAATACTGTACTCTCATAGAAATGCTTTTAATTCGCTAAATTTAAAGGTAGGCCTATACAAAATTATTAGTTACGTTGAAATTAGTCATATTAAAATAAAATTGTGAAACAAGTTTTATTTTCAAGAAAATGTCAATTTGATCAGAATGTACTGCATATAATTAAGTAGATAGGTAGTTACCAATTTTAGTGGTTTAAAAAAATAATTTTTCAAGTATACTGCACATTTTACAGGAAATTGTTAAAATCGTTAACCAAAACATTTAAAATTATTTTCTAACATATTTTAAGGAATTTATCACAGTCCTGTTTACCAATGAGGTTCTCTTATCTCAATATATAAACTCCCAATTAGGACCAATAACGTAAGTAGGTTAGGTGGTGTATTGTATTGATTTAGAGCGGGATCATTGACACAGCGCGACACTAGCGCTCGGGTGAACGGCCGCTTAAGCAACAGGCCCAGTTTTGGGGTCAGCGAGGCAGCGCTCGGCGCGCCACTGGCGACAAACTACCGTACTAGGTCGCTCTATTACGTAACGCAGAACGTTCACCTTTGTTAATGTGTCACGCGTGCAGTGTTGCCTTGTTGTTTGGGTATTTGCAATACTTTCTCGTTTGGTACTTTACAGTACGAACCAGACACGTTATACAGTTGTTTTTTTTAAATATCGTTTATAGTTAGATTTAAAGTGATTTTATGGTTATTTTTATAGTGGCCAGTAATTGAACAATGCAAAGCCTTCTGAGAAACCTTTTACACTCAGCCTTATGACTGCATACCTGTATACTATAGATATATACAGTGTATAGATCGTAATTGTTAATTGTGTTTCTACAAATCCTGTAGTTTATTTTTGCAAAGTGCGAACACATTTTAATCTACAAACAACAATTTCTAACTACACCAAGAGCTGATTCCATGTATACGCATACAAGTAGGTATGGCTACATCGTATTACTTGTCACAACACCTCGCCCTACTTACTGCGCGACGACGTGGACGTGACGTGAGTGTGCTGTATCTAGGACATGGTTGCGTCGCAAGCGTAGCTATGATTGCGTCGAGCACAGTTCAGTGACCCCGCAAGCGAAAGTGTCTTGCGTAACCCTTCCTGATTCCACGAGAAAGCACCTTTCTCCACCCCTCCACTCCGACAATTGCTTCACCGATTTCGCATCAGATTCGGTTTCTATTCAGCATTCTTCAGTGTGACTTGTTCCGTGTTTTTCACCTGACTTCCTTTGCTCGCGAAGTGTTCCACGTGTGTGTGTCAGTATGGCTCCCCGTGGGGTACATTCACATTGTGAGTACAGTATCAATAACTTGCTTGCACAGTATAACCGACCAAGCTTCATATACTGTCCATCAAACAATTTATAAGAAAGCTCATTTATACAATACATCGAATAGTTATATTAGTGTGCTCAAGTATTCAATATTTTTCCAATGACACTTACGGTACTACGATTTTGCTACATAGGCCTACGTTCACATCGATATGTTTAAATTTATTGTTTTATCAGAAGCTTAGATTACTTTTTTTTACTCCGATTTAACAGGTATTTTTTATCTGTTAACTTTAGGTTAACAAATGTACATATGTATATAAACAATTAATCATTGACAAAGCCTTACTGAACTAGTTGACTAAATATATACATCTTAGTACAATGTCACTTATTTTTTTAAACTTAATTTTTATAGTAGGGTATGTTTAAACAATAATTCTCCCATACAGCATCAAAAAACTAAGAAAAAATGTATCTTAATTACTTTATATATCGGGAACACTGTATTCTTTCAATGGACGCAAGTTGTGAATCGACGCTCGTCTGAAACAACTACCTGAGCCGGGAGCCGTAGTTGAGCAGCGCTGCGGTGTGCTGCGGCGTAGCGGAGAAACCTAGAACTACCGCCACTGCAGCGGCGGCCGCGAACGTTGTACTGTTTCTGTCGAGGCGGCGGGCATTATTTGAAATTATTTTACGGAAGTGAAATATATTATTATGTAAACCAGATACATTATATATTAAAATCATTTATAGTTTGATGTAGTTATTAAATGCGCTTAAAATGTTATTGAATTCATTGAAGCGTAGTCTGACCGCATCAGTTAGTGTTGCCGCAACTAGGAGCGCTAAAGTGGCGTGATCTTGAACATGTCCACTTGTGAGTATTTCTGCTCATGACCTTAGCTGTCCGACCTTCAGTTATTTCCGCGGGGTTGTATAATTCCCCTTGCATGTGCTCCTCCTCGCGATTTCCTTCTTTATCATGCACGTGTTTATTGTTTTCGTCGATTAAAGGAAATATGCAATGTCATGTCCTTTATCCCGTGATTGTACACAACTGAATTCACTATCAAAATTACGTTTACAAATTAATGAAAATTGTCAAAACATATCTTTGATGTCTTTTTTTTTCAAATACTAACATTAAATAAACAACAATAAACAAAAAAAAAACAAAGTAAAAAATTCATTCGTATCTACTTTTAGTACGTTAATTTACACTCTCCCGGATTGGATCAAACTGACAGATTTCATCACGAAGTCAACTAAAATATACCTTAAACCTCAGTTTATCAAAATTAAATAGAGGTTTTACAGTAAACTCTCGGTTGAAAATACTGTGCATAGAATAGGGTGGAATGTTTAATTATTTTAGAATCGAATAAAGAGACAGTCAAGTATTTTTTTTATACATACTACTGAATTAAGATATTTTGACTTAGACCTAACAAATCTAAAATAAGAATCCATACTCCTCAACTAATTTTGATTTTATTCGTTGTGTGATGTTTTTTTTGCGCACGATGCTATTCGTTTTGCAAAATTAACTATTTGTCCACACTCGATTAAAAAACAACTAACATCGCTCATTATTTTTTCACATGAATAAATTACTGCTATCAAGGCCCCAATAAACAACCTGCTATACAGGTGATGAAGTGTGTCCCATATATACAACATTTAAGCACCTACACAACAATAAACAGCAACACAGTACAATAGAGCGAGAGCGCGCGGTGGCGGGAATCCATAGCGTCCTCCCCTTTCCCCCCACCACTGATGTAGGTCGGGGGCAAGTTCAAGGTCACGAGCGCCGTGGCGATGATGGCGGTGGCGGGGGAGAGGAGAGGGAGAACCTTCAGTCAGTCGTGTTTGGAACGCGCGCGGGAATACTCCGTAGTAGCCCAGTGCGCGTCTCTACTCTTGCCATGCGGTGGACGTTTTTTACGATCTAGTGCGAGTGAAGTGTTACCTTATCTGTATTAGTACCTCAGTGCTGTGCCAAAATTAGTTATGGGAGAAGAGTTACCTATCCTCAAAGGGATTCTAAACGGAGTCGTCAACTACCATAATGCCCGTATGTGTCAATTCATTATTAGCAAATTCTTAATTTACGGACTACCCGTTTGAATTAACAGAAGTAGTTAATTATTGTGGTCAAAACTGTGCGACTTATATACTGATTATAACTGCCACCATAGGACCACTCTTAATCTTACAATTAAGATTAAGCGTTGTATTATAGTTGATTAAGCCTATAAAGATTGATTAAGAATGTTTAATAACAAATTTAATGGTTATTATCTCAACTTCAGGATTGATAAAATGTTCTATTATATTTATTTAATTTACATCATATTCAAAAAATTGATTTGATTTTGTTCATATTTTGAAAATTATTGTAAATGATTTTTTTATTTAGTTAAATTGCCAAGAAGTAAATTTGTTTGCTAGATAATTAAATTGTATTTGCAGTAAGTTTAGACATTTTTATCACAAATCATCACTGTTCTGCTCAATGAAGTAAAATTTGGTGGGAAGTCAGAATATTAATACCGTAGAATCAATTTAAGGTCATAAGTGCCTTTATGTATTTGCAGTAAAAATTTGAACATAATCGCCTTGGTCTGATCAACATGTTCAAATAACACCTACAATTTAAAACTTTGATTTATTTATTCTTCTTCCAACGACCAAAAGGCCTTACAAAAAACATAACTTACATTTACACTTACTCTAATAATTTAACAAGTAGAAATAATAATACGAATAACAATAATAGATCTTAAAAAATTAGCTAATTAATTACTATAGGTACAACAAATGCATTTTTGGATTTAAAATATACATTTGGATCTAACAGGGATTCTACTTCTAATAGGAACTAATAGTTTCTGATTAACATTTGCCGGATATAGATCATGCAGCCACTCATAACTTTCCCTTTATTGACTAACTAGATCTTAAATAAAGTCTCGATGACAAGACGAAACAGATACAGTATGTAACAGTTAAATAGTTTATAGTTTAATCTTTGTTTGATATATTCAAACCACTATGAGTCATGATCCATTTGCTCGTGAGTGAGTTGGAGAAATTCGCCGATCGTTTACACGTTTGTTTTTGTCTGCTTTACTTTCGCTGCTCTCTCCTCCCGCGCAGCCCTCCACTTTCTATCCGAGCGCGACTTTCTTGTAAATCGTGAAAGTGAAAACTCGGTCGGTTTCTCCCGTTGACCCGGTGGTGTGAGGTGATGTACTATATACAGTACTGTAGTGTAGTGTAGTGCTAGTGTGCGGCATTGAATGGCTTCCGCGTCCAAGCCGCAGTAGGTCACGGCCGCGACGTCTGGCCCTCATCGGATTAGAATGTTTGTGTGACAAGGGCGAAAGTTTGGCAGTTGTCATGGGTTGAAGGCCTGTGGTTAAGTATGTGTAAGAAATAATACCGACTAGTTAACATAAGCGTGTCAACAGAGTAAAATATCTGGATTCGATTGGGAAACTGCCGTAGAACTTTATTGGGGCGTATCACATGACACTTCGCCTAGTAATGATTGCAATTGCAGCAAATTGTTATAACTTCGTGTAATACAAATAACCATTTTAATGCTTTTTGCAGTATTTGACGCATGAATTATCGTGATTCACGTTTATATTTTGTAAGTGGTGGCTACTACGATACATTCCCGAATCGCATAATGTACTCTACGACGCAAAGGGTTTTACAGTACAATTCAATTCAATTATTTAAGATGGGGACGCCACTATGTGCGTATTTTAACCCAAATATGATTGAAGGATGAGTGTAGGATGAGTGGCGCGATCTTGTAGTCTTGTTAGTGACTAAGGCCGACATGTTCCTTAGACACAGCTTACACTACTTACTTATATTTATCTTATCAGTTGAAACTGTTAGAAAACTTGTGTTGCAACATGGTTAGCGTGCTTGTACACCAATAATCGCGGATCGGATTTCCCTTTGTCCCTCCATGGCGGCACCCAGGAAGTCCAGATCGTTTATTGTGCAACTAATTTGGGGTGGCGCGTGCACGCCAGATGTCTGCCTGACAGCTGCGACGCTAGACGCTACCCCGCTACACCTGGTAGACCTCTACCTCCTGCAGGGCCCAGACACAGCGAGCGTTGAACCCAAGGCCGCGGTCCGACCTTGGTCATCACTAAACAACCTCATTTGCTGTTTTCAAGATGCGGGAAGCCCGCCAATCACTGGTGATTAGACGTGAACCGTAGGCCTACATCTCACCTGTGTTTGTGATGTGAGTGTCAAGGGCGATGGGAGAAAACAAGTCGTAAAACGAAGGTCGGTGACAGAAGTGAAAAGTTACTATTTCTTGCACGTAGATCTACACAGAAGCGGGATTACCCTAAAATCGCCCTCTTCAGCGTCGTGACAATACTAATCCTACCGTACCTAAAATAATTCTATATTACATCATTATGTAGTTTGAAGCCTACTTATTTAATTTAACCTCCTGAACATATCCTATGAAGTGTGTTTGCTCTGTTGCAGCTGTAAGATTCGGGAGAGTGCCGAAGCGCGAGAAGGCGCGTATCCTGGCGGCCATGCAGCAGAGCACCAACTCACGGTCGCAGGAGAAGGCGGTCGCCGCGGAGCTGGAGGATGACCAGAGACTTGTGTCCACCGTCATCCGCGCCCACCTCGACACCTGCGACTTTACCAGAGACAAGGTGGAGCCCATGCTGGCCAGAGCCAGAGACTACCCCAATTACACCGCCTGTCCGCCGACACTGGTGAGTTATCACTATCATACTCTCATCTTTGTAACTACTGTAGTTCAGTTTATGATAGTTTCAAGGAGATCAATCAAATGGCGGAACTCGTGGTCGAGCCGAGCCTCTTGACTAGACAGAAGGCCGGGATAGCGGATAGCGTTACCCAAGTGACCCGGAAGAGCCTTGCCCGATAACCTTTACATCCAGTTACATTGTTAGCCTTGGTCCTCCTCGTTGCTCTACCTCTCTACCTTTGTTTCGAAAGTGACCTTCGGAGTGCCCTTCGGCTTTTATAAATACTTGCAGTACCGTTCAAGGGAAAGCTTCTGAGACTTTGAATTATAATTATTTTCAAGCTACAGCGGTACATTGGTAAATTTGCGTTGTATGATCGTGTTTAATTTGGATTAATTTGATTATTATTGGAGATTGTAAAACATAACATGAATATGTGCTTGTATATAATGTGTAAAAATAAAATTTACGTGTCTTATCAGAAATCAAAAATTGTCAGCAGGATGAGGCAGGAAAAATAAACTTGCTTTTAACTTAATCTTAAACTTAATAGAAAAAAATTAATAAAATAAATAATTTACCAGGATTGAACTGAAGCTGGCCCATGAATAAATCCCTTGTGAATGCACGGTGCTGTAACAGTATCCCAACAGATAGAGCGTATATCCGACGGCGGGAGGAAGGAAGCGGGACAGGGCGGGAAAGGAAGATGACCAGTGGGTGGACAAAGGACCAGCCTTGCCCGGGGTACACGGCACACAGGAAACTACCAAGGTCACTGGAAACCGATACGTATTGTGACGTGACGCGGCAGCTCACCTACCAAGGTCACGCCATTGTCAAGGTCTCCGTCCGACAACTCAATATCCTAATTGCGCCGAGAACTAGTTTATGACTCACGAATGGCTGGGGCGCGCGTAGTTTGTTCAACAGTGACATATCTTTATTTCAAAGAGTATTTTGAAGGGCCGCCGTGATATGGCATCGATATTTTTGTCCTAAATATTAAATTGTTTCGACCGTTGTTAAATTATCACTTACAGTCGTCTTATCTTATCTGGTATTCGACGATAAAATGAGAGCTATCTGAATCTGGTTAATGGCTGAAGGTAGTGATAGAACCCAGGCGTGTGTTTACACCAAGGCTGGCGCGGTCAAGGGTAGTGAACTATAAATATAGAGTCACATCGATCGAGCCTTGGGCGGTAAAGGTCAGGCAGAATGCCACGTCCTACGTCTAGACTCGACTGATTCATTCCTTGCCAACTATAATTTTGATCGCTTTTGAAGTTATACATTTAATGAACTTGTTGTTGTTTTGCCACCTAAACTCAATATCCTTGTTTGGTTTCAGGCGTGTCCCCTCAACCCCAGCCCTCAGCCTTTGACAGGACAACAAGAACTCCTCCAAGACTTCTCTAAGAGGTTCTCCCCTGCCATCAGAGGTGTTGTCGAATTCGCCAAACGGATTCCCGGTTTCGCTCTCCTAGCACAAGATGACCAAGTCACCCTCCTCAAAGCTGGCGTATTTGAGGTTCTACTCGTCCGCCTTGCCTGCATGTTTGATGCACAGGTAGATATTTTTTTTTAGTTGTCTTGAAAAAATATTTTTTGTAATACGATTTTCAGAAAAAATGTAGACCTAGAACTGTTATAGGTACCATTATCACATCATTCTGTGCTTAAAAATTGCTAACATATTAATATCATTTTCCATGCAAAGTATTAAATCCTCCAATAATGTGTAAACTTTAAAAAAAATACTTATTGTTTTATCAAAATATTTGGTCTGTTTAAGTTTGTTAATTTTTATATTTTTGTTAATAAAAATGTAAACTTGTATTGAGAAGTAATATATTTTTATTGGTTTTTGTTACAGAATAACAGTATGATCTGTCTAAACGGACAAGTGCTTAAGCGGGAATCAATCCACAACAGTTCCAATGCCAGATTCTTGATGGACTCCATGTTTGATTTTGCCGAGAGGTTGAACTCCTTGAAGCTGTCTGATGCTGAGATTGGACTCTTCTGCTCCATTGTCGTGATCGCCGCAGACCGTCCTGGACTGAGAAACACCGAACTGATAGAGAGAATGCACAACAAGCTGAAGTCTGCACTGCAGATGATCATCAACCAAAACCACCCTAACCAACCTGGATTGATACATGAACTGATAAAGAAGATACCTGATCTCAGAACGTTAAACACACTACATTCTGAGAAGCTTTTGGCCTTCAAAATGACCGAGCAACAACAATTACAGCAGCAACAACAGCAGCAGCAGATGTGGGGAAGCATGATGAATGAGGATGAATGCAACAGTAAAAGCCCTGGAGGTGCATCTACGTGGTCATCTTCATCTGATGTCACAATGGAAGAAGTCAAGAGCCCTCTCGGTTCAGTATCAAGCACTGAGTCAATGTGCTCTGGAGAAGTTGCTTCTCTTAATGATTACCATCACCAAAGCCATCATGCTAGCAGTGCCCCCTTACTAGCAGCAACTCTCGCTGGAGGAATCTGCCCTCACAGGCACAGAGCGAATTCTGGTTCAGCATCTGGAGATGATGTGAAGACAATCCACCGACCCTTTAGGAAATTGGACTCTCCTAGTGACTCTGGAATCGAAAGTGGCACGGAAAAGATTGACAAACCTATTGGAAGTGCACCAACGTCAGTCTGCTCAAGTCCAAGGTCTTCTCTGGAGGACAAGGAAGACCACCATCACCAATCCCACCATAACCACCATATCGCAGAAGACATGCCCGTGTTGAAGAGGGTACTTCAAGCTCCACCTCTATGTGATACCAACTCGCTAATGGACGAGGCATACAAGCCTCATAAAAAGTTTAGAGCATTGAGGAATAAAGACAGTGCTGAAGCAGAGCCCATGGTTCACCACTCTCCTCAGCTACACCACCATCTCACCTCCTCCCTCTCAAGTACTCATTCAACATTGGCAAAATCGTTGATGGAGGGACCCCGGATGACTCCTGAGCAGATGAAGAGGACGGACATCATCCATGACTACATCATGAGAGGAGAAACTCCCGCCACAACTGGATACCAGTACATTCCTTCCCACAGGTGGAGTCAAAACCCTACCCCGACTCCCGGCACCAGTGTCATAACGACGACGTCAGGACGACCTGCCACCTACGTTCTTGTATCAACACCTCCTCCACCCCTTATGCACCTGGAGCAACAGTCCAGGATTTACCTACACCCCTCATCCCCCTCTCCATCATCAACATCCCCTTCCTCACCGTCTATAATGGAGTTGCAAGTCGGCATTGCTAACGCGCAACAACCCCTCAACCTTTCCAAAAAGACACCTCCCCCTTCTCCACGCCCACTCTCAGCTCCTTCTGTGCAACAGAAAGCTGTCTCTTTGGAAGCCTGAGGACGTCCCTTCGTCATCGTCTATAGTACAAAGCCGTGCCGTGGCGGAAACACAAAGTGGTACAAATCAAAGACTAGGACATGCTCCTTGTGATCTCGTGGTGTTTGATAATGCCAGGAAAGTTGGCGCCGTGAAGACTCAGTGAGAACGGCAAACAAGTGGTTAAAAGATTGTTCTGTTATGGACTATTTCTTTGTTTTTAAATAGCATCTAAGATTCTGATGGTGCCACATTTTAACTTTTATCGAAACCAAATAATTTATCATCCTCCCCCTATAGTAAACTTGCTGTATATGTGTTAGATGTGTGACATTTCTAAATCTGACAGCTCTTGTCAAATATGTGTTGTAGATGTCAATGTTCCTACTGGCGCTTGAGCGCAGGGTGTTTCGGAAAGGTTTTGTAAGGACCAAGTAGTGTCGGCCCCTAGAGTCTGTAGTCGGGTCAGTGTTTTGGCCTTTCCAGAAACATCCCGTTGCTGCCTAGGTTGGGACTTTCATAAATTCTCAGTTGAGGTCCAAAGTTTGAAAAGAATGGCATCAAGCACCGAATCCTATGATTTTTTTACATGAATGTGATATAATTCTATGTAGGGCTTGCATTTTATTTTATGTGTGTAAAGTTAGTCTAATCGTAATGTATATCTATTGACTTAGTTTTACGTTCGAGTCGAGTAGCAGGTGCATCGGCCCCTCATCTTGTATATTCGAAGAAATTTGAGACTGAGGGAAGGCGGGCCATCTGAAAGCTTAGCTCCGATAGTTTCCTATTCCTTTTTGTTTGTATTTATGTAAGTAGGTTGGCCAGTAAAGCTTAGCCCACCCAAAAATTGTATAAAGTGTACACAGTATATTTTAATAGTTTATTTTTAAGGATTAAAAATCCCAAAACTGTATGTACAGATGGCCGAACCTTCCTATATTCTTATACCTTAATGTCGTCCTAGACTGGCTTGTCCAGGGCCCTGTGACCAGTCCTGATTGTACCTAGTACACACAGGACTGGTAACAGTGGACATCTTCTATTAGCCATATTTTCTTGGCTAACACTGTCTAAATATTTTTTTTAAATAATGTGTATAGTAATGTAATGTTATTTGTGAGTCCCCGTGATTGAGATAGACATTGTCTATGGTGTGCTTGTATGTATTTTTTGTAAAGCTTGGGAGATGTTTTGAGGTCGTCAGATTAAAATTGTCTGGTGAAATTCAAACTGCCTTATCATTATTAAACCTTGACCTCATAGTTTTTTTTATCATAATAAATAAGCCCAGTTAAAAAATGTAAATAATTGGTGAATGGTATTTTCAAATAACTTTATCTTTAAGTAACAAACAAAATATTTCAAACAGTTATAAAACTTGGAAACCATTTACAGTATGGGTACTTACTTTCATGTAAAATAACAACTTTGCATTAATTTCCTAAATCTTAAAAGGAAAGTACCGAAACAATTAAATCATCTGTTAAGAGATTAAAAGAGGACTTTAAATTAATTTTTCCTCAAATTTGTTGGAAATGTGTGACAAGTACCAATAAATGGGCACAAAATATATTTACATTGATCATTGCAATTTCCTTGGTCATTGAACATTATATTTAAACTTAACCAATATAGTCATGCAGATAGTTAAAGAGATATTACAAAGTTAGTGAAACTAATGATGAATAAACAAAGTACTTACACCATTAGTTAATTTTAACACCAGAAATTCAATTTTCACAGAAGTATTATTTTCCACCAAAAATATTTGAAAATGTTAACTAAGTGCTACACCAGAGCCAGAAGAACACTCACTTGGTGAGAACACCAGACAGAACAATATATCTTGTATTAGCGATTTCCCAAATTGGGAATAAGCTATTACCGTAGTACAAATTATCTGATTTTGATGAATTTTTGTATAAACGTGTAAACCTACATTTATTTGAACGAGTTAGGGAACCAGCATTATCGGACTATGGGAACGGGGGTTTATGGAGCAAAAATTGGGTTTTCCCATTTTTGACGCAAAAAACATAAAATTTAGCAATTTCTATCCAAACCGTTTTGTAGAGCTTAAAAAAACAAATAGTTTAGTATATTGAAGCATTATTATGCGCCTAATGGTTACAGAGAAAATTCCAAAAAATTGTAAATCTTAAATTCTTATGTTATTCTTATGGAGAATAAGTAAACTGTTGTAGTTTTTTTGTTTATGAACATATTTTGATCAAATTTGTAAAATGCATTTATTTCTTATTATAACATTTTACAAAAAAAAACTTTTCCCCTCCCTGTTGCAGTAAACCTAAGTACTCGTTAAACTAATTATATTTAAATAGGAAATAAATGTGATATTTAAGGATACATTTTAGTGTTAATCAAACTAGACAAATGGAAATTCGCTTAGTCTGCAGGTTTGCTGCGGCGGGGGTATAGTTTTGTTGTGAGTGTGACTCAGTGATTGGCCAGGCCAGCAAGTGGAGAGTGAGCCACCAGCGACACATGACTTGTTGGTTACATTTGTTGAGTGACCTTGGCCGCCAGTAAACAATCCAAGGTCATACCATCTGACGCCCCGCGCCGTCACGGCAAACATTGCGTCACCGTCAAACTAACAAAGTTACATATCACGTACAGTTCAGTGTTGGTTTCGAGATCAACTTGAAAATAACAAAGGAATTTTATGGTGTTGAACAGAGATCTCTGAATAATGAACCTCGACTATTCTATATTTTTAAGATTTGTAAAAAATACAATACAAATGATGATATTAGTGAATTTCCTACATTGGGATCAAACTATTGCCGTAGTTTTCATGGTTTAAGGCCCGTGAGTAACATTGTGAGTACACTATCGAGGTTCACTAACTTCTCGATCTTCTCTTCTACCTCCTCGATCATCAGGATCTTCAATACTTTGCTCTTAACACTTTTACAGTGAGAGAAAAATACATTTTAACACAGTTAGCAGTCCTTGGACAATGGGCCCGGCGATCCTCGCTCTCCGATGGTCTCTTCAGACGCGTCTTGGACAACGCGCCTTAGCTCTAGACCTGGGACCGATATTCTTTTTCGTTTTGATGACTCCACATAGGACTTGATCTTAGACAATTGCCTTCAACTTGAATTACCTTTTATTTTTTATACAGTATGCTGACATGACGTTTTTACTTGATCTGCGAATTTTAAATATACTCGGTCGTGCATTAATTGTGCCAAAGAGTTTCTTAATTGCGCCAATACCCCAAAGGGTCCCAAAAAATTATCCTTCGTTGCGCCAAGACCAAGCCAGGTATATGGGTGAGTGGCCGGCAAAAAGTATGTCCTTGTTTACGTGTAATCCTAACCTATCCTAACCTAACCAACCTAGGAAAAGAGGGCCGCCACTGGCGTAGTTTATGAACGTATCGAGTGGCTCCCTGGAGTAGTTGGCGCAATTCAGGAATACCCGACTATCTGGCTCAGTCAATGCGCCCAAATTATCTATTGTTAAATAGGTACACACTCTACGAGTATAATGTCCATAAAGCTTTCAGCGAGAACTAAGCGTGGTCCGATGATTGCTGAATGTGTGATAAACGTAATGGTAATACGATTAATTAAATTACTTACCTTTTGTCATTGTGTTAGTCATGAACTTTATCTTTGATACTTTCCTTGTCAAAATTGCAGTTCAGTTTACGAAGGCTATACACGAGAGGGTACTGTACCTGACAGGAACTATCCTATGAAAGATTAATGGAAACCATGGCATAGATTTATTTATTCCGTTGCAACAATATAATTTTGCTGATCTAAACGAGCTTGCTAAGGTTTGTACGTACAATCAAAGTAAATACAAGCGGAGTTTTAGAATTTTTCCTAATATATAACCGAGACATAAAACTAAAAATTACTGTAATAGTGTTTATAGTGTTAGTTGTGTGATGTACTGGAGTGAATAGTTGTTAACCTACAACAGTGAGCGTGTCAAAGACATCTAAAGGTCGTGCATTTTCTAAAGCATGTCTCATTTCCTCCTCCTCTAGGCGGAAATAGAAGCTATTTACATCTGAAAGGCGATGGAAAAACGTCAGAAATTTGAGTTGTACAATGGTACGTCTTATCTGTTACATCATGGGACAAATATTTATATAATGGGACAAACGTCGAATAATTGCAATGTTACATTAGACGTAAAAATTAAACCAAATGTATAGATAGACCCCTTATCAAAATAGCCGATACACCTAAACATTGTGTAACAAACAATGTGAGCTTGAGCTTGAATGTAATAAACAGAAAAGTTATCCATTGCAACTGAAATATTGCAAATTAAATGCAACTATGCAAACAAACACTTTTTTTAGATAAAAATTTATCTTACGAGCTCAGGTTGGACAAACATGTAGTAATGGTTACTGTAAAAGGTGCTTAGTAAATAACTTGATCTTAGACAGAAATACAGAAATTTAACTACGACTGTCTACGTGCTCGGTAAATAACTTGATCTTAGACAGAATTTTAACTCTGGCTGTCTATTTGCTTGGTAAATAACTTGATCTTAGACAGAAATTTAACTCTGGCTGTCTATTTGCTCGGTAAATAACTTGATCTTAGACAGAAATTTAACTCTGACTGTCTATGGGCTCGGTAAAATACTTGAGTTTGGATGACGATTGAACTCTTACTGTTTATATGTGACCTATGTTCCGTGTATGAAGCCTAGGGCAAGGCAGGTGCAGGTGCCGGTAACCAGGTCGCAGGTGTCCGCAGCAGTACAGCGCCTCTCGCCTACAGGTGCTTGTCTCCGGTGCAACGTACGTTACGTATCATCTGCTGCTGCTGGACGCATTATACCGTTAACCATGTCAAGGATGTGTATAACACGCATCTGTCACACTCCACTACGCAACTTTATATCGACACAACTTTGTTTAGACACATTGCTATGTCTAAACAAACATAATCTCGATAAGGTAAATGTGTATTGCACTGTATTCATTTTGCCTCGGACACAAGTTTTGGATTAATCTGCGCATTTTTAACACGGGTCCCCTCGTGTTAATACTTTACTGACTTTACTATGGCCTTATGTAGTCTTCTAGAGCAATGCAGTGCAGAGTTGTTTGAATGTTATAACGCAAAGATGAATGTGGAATCCAACGCTGTAAGTCTACATAGAAAATTATCCAAAAAGGAGAACAAAGGCCACTACTGAGGTGTAAGTGTACAATTGACTACCTTCTCCAAGAGAGGCGAGGTCGGAATTGTGTATGACGAAGATGACGAGGTAGAGAAATGAATCTCTTTCAACACCTAGTAGCATCGGTCCTCCCAACAACTGCATCTACAGCGCTGTATATATCCTGACGCGCTTCCACCACTTTCCTGCGAGAACCAACTGTAATTTGGACACTAAATTGGAATGTGTGGATTTCAACACTGTAAAGTCAACGAACTTGAACTTATCGAATAGCTTACCGACCGAATTATCTATTTACATAACAACTTTAGATCGTTTAATTCCCTTATTTGGTTTGACAAATCTTCTTATGGGTACAGTGCATGTTAGTTCTTTGGTTTTACATGCTGAATGTTCCAAATTGTAGTTTATCTCTTAAAGTACGGTTTATTGGACATACTTTGTCGAAGTAGATTGGATTTGACGATTTCCGCTGCCCGTTACTTCAAGAGAGAAATTACAATATCTTCCTCTGATTGAGCTCTTTAAAATACTGAGCAAATATTTCATCGCTTAAAACTTGCTTATTCGTCGCTAACGAGCGGAATAAAAACGTACTGTATTTGTTATTTCATTCATTAACATTTGTTGGATTCCTAACCAAGTTGTTGTGACTAACTAGCCGATGATTGTTTTGAAACACAAATTAATATCATACTAAACATATATTTAACGTATAAATGTATATTGCATAAGGCTTTTAAGGCTTAGTTCAAAAGAGCGCAATAGGTTAACCGATTGTCAGTTCTATATTGAATCTCATAGTGTCCAGTTTTATGTCTACTCGAGCAATGCACAGGGATTTTATAATACGTAATAAATCATTTTTAATTCCAAATTCATTTACTGTAGAATAATGTACATACATCTTAGAATACATGTATAAAAAATTGTAATTTATTATTGTAATTATTATTGTAATTTATTATTGTCTTAACATAACATAAGCCTTTATTTATTTATTATTACTTAACATTCATACGGGTACAGTTCATGTAGCTTAT